GTGGATAAAATAAGATTTTTTTTTTTTATACTTTCTACTTGGTCCCTGCTGGCATATGGAGAATAACTGAATGCTATATGTTTGTTTTGTATGCATTTCCTTTACTCAATTCCCTTATTATTTCTAAACATTTTTCAGCCCATTAGTTGTGGTTTCTTAGATAGAAATCACACACACATACACACACACACACACATATGTAATCTATATATAATTTGTTCATATAATCATAAGCCTGATTTTTCCTTCCCAAATTTATGCCTGTTTTCTTCTCCCATTATTTTCTCTTATTCACAATTCCAAAAGGTCCTTGTTTTCATAGAGATGATTTTATTAGTAAAGACTAAATCTCTTCTTCACCCCTCCTCATCATCATTCATCATGTCACCAAAGTCACCGTGTATTTCTAATCACTGAGTTCCCATCAGGGGACATCTTATCAGGGTAATTATATTGCTGGGTCTCCTGAGTCCTATTCATGTGATGAACAACATTAATAAACTTTTATATTGATTCCCCCTTTTATAAACTAATTGTCTTCCATCCAGTGGGAACAAATGAGCTCACATTAACAGAAATAGCTCAGGTTTCACAGGCACATGGTCCCACCTGTATAATATAGAACAGATGTCACAGGCTGAATGCCAGTGGGTCATATCTAGTTAGCTTATAAGGAAGGAGTTTTAAAATACTGTTTTGAATTAGTCACTAGCATTTAAAGATTAGGGAATTTCAGATAAGAATTCCAATTTCCTTTTTGTCTCTAAGTCTCTCAAGATCTGGCCCTTCTGGTTCCTGAATTTCCACATGGTCACAGCAGGCTGAGGCTGGGCCCCAGGGGCCCTCTTGAGAGATCTCTTCATTTACCTCACTAGCATTCTATCTGCACCCCATTGTCTCCACATCCAATTGTTTCCCAGACAGCAGGGTCAAGGGTCAGTTACCAGTTTTTGTATTTGTGCAATTGCTTTTCTTATTATGGAATTAGGTGAAAGTGAAATATTCCTTGTAATGATGTCTCTGGAAAATGGAGAGGAAATAAAAGAGGCCAAGGGGACTGTCTGTGTGCATCCAGGGGAAATGGGGCAGCATACTTCTTAGTGGATTTGAAGACTATTCCTAGAAGGTTAACACACAGAGGGTGTCTGCTGAAAGAATTAGATGTAAACTGCCACCAGAAAATAAAACATTACAAGAAGAATATGTAAAAGCTGCATTGATGTGGGGGACACACACATATACAAGTGACACATGAGAGAGAGAGAGAGACAGAGAGAGAGATAGGGAGAGATGTTTCCACAAGGTCCATTTGATGAGGCTTTAAAGTATAAACCAGGCTGTTATGGAATGTCAAGATGTATTAAGGAGTCTCCATCACCCAAGTCTATCCCTGACTTTGACCTGCCTGGCTTGTAGAGATATTTATGTTTCTAATCTATGCTCGGGTCTTCTTGGTTATTTCTGAGGAGTTTCCCAGCGGTAAATGTGCTGGGGTCAGTCTCCCTGGGTAGACTAGGGTACAAAGCATTGAAATTTCAAAGCCACACTTCCCTCTCATCTCTCAGAGGCCAGAGCCAGGGCATGTTCCTCTCCAACTATCTTGGACCCTTGCTCTGTGGTACCCCTGCCCCTGCCCAGTGACCCCAAAGGAAATAACGTTTTTCCTTCTCCTGAAACTATTTCTCCATAAGGTTCAGATATCAACTTATGAGGCTGAGCTGGAGCGGGGTCACACCCTTATAGAAAGCAACACCAAGAGACTGATTTGGGAGGGAGATATAGTTTGACCCCCACTGTCAGTTCCTCGGTGTCCAACCTGAGTTTTAAAATGGAGACACAAATGTTGGTCCCTGAGCCTCTACTCACCTCATACCCCCAGGGCCACCCATAAGCTTTTCCTTTGCAAGTCCTTGCCTCAGACAAAGGTATATGATAGCGGCCTGTGTGTTCCTAATCCACTTGGTTTTGCTGATTGGTTTTTGACACAGAGTTTCACTGTGTAGCCCTAGCTGACCTAGAGTTCACAGGAACATGTCTGCCTCTGCATCCTGAGTGCTAGGGTGAAAGGTATGTGCTACCTAGCCATCTTGAGGCATCAGGCATGTTATAACTCTCCTAGGCTCATCAGGTAGGGCAGCATTCCCTAAACCTTACTTAATTTTTTAAGATTTACTTATTTTATGGATGTGAATGTTTGACTGCACGTATGCATACATACCTTGTGTATGGCCTGATGCCTGAAGAGGTCAGATGCCCAGAACTGGTTATAAGCCATTGTGTGGGGGCTGAGAACCTAACGTGGGTCCTCCGCAAGAGCAGTAAGTGCTCTTAACTGCTGAGCCCTCGCTCCTCCTACCCAATAGGCCCCTCTTTGTCATGGCACACTATGAGTTTCTTTTTAGTTGAGACAGGTGTCATGTAGCCCAGGCTGTCCTCAAACTTACTATGTACAGGAGGATAGCTTTGAATTTCTGACCTTCCTGTGTCTTACCTCTCAAGTGTTGGGACCACAGATGTGCACTCAGTTTGTGTGGTGATGGGGATCAAACCCAGGGCTTTGTGCATGCTGGGTAAGTTGAGGCTGAATACAAGTTCCACCCATTTTATTATTTGATATTCTGTACCTTTATCATAGAGAATTCATCTTCAGTTCACCATGTAGATTTTAGGATCAAGTTAAAATGAAATGAGAAATGTTTTAGTGGTTTTTAAAACTTGGACATTTAAATTTTTGTTTTTAAAAGTTGGCTTATATTTCAAAATAATTTGGACTGGTAAAAATAAGCTGTAAATACATAGTCTTTATGAAGTGCCACCTAGCTCTCTCAAATATCAGCTGAACATAATATCAAATGAACATAACATATGATCATTGAAATTATGTTTGGGGAGCTGGAGAGATGGCTCAGGGATTAAAAGCACTGGATGCTTTTCCGGAGGACTCCTGTTCAGTTCCCAGCTCCCACATACAACTAACAAACTCCAGTTCTAGGGGATCTGATGCCCCCTTATGGACTCTGAGGGTACTGCATGCATGGAGTGCACAGACATACATGCAGCTAAAACACACATACACATAAAATAAAAATAAACCTTTAAAAATTAGGATTAGTATAGATACAGTAATTGTTTTGTTGGTGGTTTTATTTATTTATTTATTTATTTATTTGTTCGTTCATTTATTTATTTATTTTTGATACTGGGTCTTGCTATGAGTTCAGTGTGGGCTTGAACCCAATTACCTTCCTGCCTTAGCCTCCCCAGTGTTGGGACTACTGGACTTTGCCACCATGCCCAGTTGGATATGCTATGGGTAGATTTTTATTCCAATTTTGCCAATGGTTCCCTTAAATGTCCTTCTTTTGGTCCAGGACCCAATCCTGAATTTCTCCTTATACCTAAGTATCGTGTGACAATGCCCTCCAACCCCAATCTTGGTGAGCCTCAACACTGACACCGGTATTTTGTAGAATGACTCTCAGTGTGGGTTAGTCTAATTTTTTTTTTTTTTTTTTTTCATGATTAGACTGAGGCAAAGTATTTTAGGCAAGAACATCTCAGAAAGGACTCGCCTTTCTCGGTCCCCCGAGTCATGTGACCCCTGATGATGATGTCACTTTTGTTCAGTTGGCATAGGGTGTGTCTGCCTGGTTTCTCCACTGCAAGTTTCTGTTTTCTCTCTGTTACGGTTACACATATGATGGGGAACTATTCCCCAAAGCAAATAGCCTGTTTTTCTTAGTCCCTTCAGACTGCAATATCAAAAACACCACATACCAAGTGGCTGAAAATCAACAAACATTTCTCACCATTCTGGAAAGCCTGAAAAGCCTAAGCTGGAATGTGCTGGCAGAGTTGGCACCTGGTATGCGCCTTTTCCTCGAAGATGGGGTCCTCTGTGTGTCCTCACGTGGGACAAATTGCCAAGTTTTCCTGAGTGCCCTTTATAAGAGCACTGGTTCATTCTGAAGGCGGAACAAGCCAGGCTGAATCATAACTGCAAAGGTTTCATCTTCTTAACCATCACGTCAGAGGTTAGATTTTGTAAAGGAACCTGAATACACAACCATGAATCATTATATGTTGGCCTACCACATTTACTTTTCTTTTTTAATTTTTAGGGGTTTTTGTTTTGTTTTGTTTGTTTTTGTTTTTTTCATGACAGGGTTTCTCTTGTAAACGCCCTGGCTGTCCTGGAACTCACTCTGTAAACCAGGCTGACCTCTGCCTCCTGAGTGCTGGGATTAAAGGCATGTGCCACCATACCTAGCACTTAAAACTTTTTAGTTTTTATTTTATATGTGTGGGTGTTCTACCTCTCATGTGTACCCTCATCTATGCCTGGTAGCCAAGGAAGCCAGAAGAAGGTATCAGATCCCCCAGGAACGGAGTTACAGATGGTTGTGAGCCGCTGTGTGGGTTCTGGGAATTGAACCAGGGTCCTCTAGAACAGAGCAACAAGTGATCTTTACTGCAGAGCCATCTCTCCAGCCCCCTGGCACACTGCGTCTACCAATCACTGATGATATTTGCCTGCTGGTAATTTCTTTGTAAATTTTGTGTGTGTGTGATGTGTATATATGAGTGCATGTGTGTGCATATGATGTATATACATGAATGCAGGTTCATATGTGCCACAGCATATGCCTACAGAAGCTAGAGGACAACTTTCAAGCATCTGTTCTTCTCTTCTGTTGTGGGTTCCAGAGATGGTGCTCAGGTTTGTGAGGTGAGCCCTTTTCCCCACTGAGCCCTCTTGCCAGCTCCCACTCCTAATTGCTTTTCTTTCTTTTATTTTGCTTTATTCTTTCAGACAGGGTGTCTCTATGTAGCACTGGCTGTCCTGGAACTCACTCTATAGACCAGGCTGACCTCAAACTCAGAGATCTGCCTGCCTCTGTCTCTCTCCAGTGTTGGGATTAAAGGCGTGTGCCATCACACCCAGCCTAGGCAATTTCTTAATACTTCGGTCTATGACCCTTACATATTCTTCCAAACACTGAAAACACAAATGCAGAATGTTTATTTTCCCCTCCATTTCTTTGCAGGGGGTGGCGGGGAGGGGGTGTCATTTAGTGGATGCTGTTGGTTCTCATTGTGTCAGGTTTTCTCAAACATCTGTTTCCCAGCTCAGTCTTTACTGGAGAATAAATGGCGGTTGAAGTGTTTGTAAAGAGTGAACAGCTGATGAGGGAAGTAAGTGAAGGCACGCAATCAGAAATCAGAGTGTGGAAGGAAGGGCTCGGAGGGATGAAAAACCTCAGTGACGACTCCCTTCCCGATGTTCCGTGTGCTGGGCTGGTTTGCCATGAGCAGAACATTAGCTTTAAAGAACACATGCTAGAGTTGGGATGTGAGCTGGCTGTCTAGGCTTCCTGTGTTGCAAGCTTTGTCCTCGGCACAGATGTTAATGGCTGGTGCTTGTTGAGAGGAAGGCACCTTGACACCGGTGACTGAGGTGCCGACCTGCAGTGGCATCAGACCCACAGTTTCAGCTCAATAGAGAAGTCCAGGCTGCCATTTCAAGTGGGATGGACAGATGAACAAAACTGCTCTGGGAGAAGAGATGCAGCCTCATGCAAGAATGCAATGATTCCAACGTTAAAGGGAGGATGAAGAATAAGAAGCCAGAAACCATGGTCTGAGGTGATGGGTTCAGGGATGGGGGTGGGGGTGGGGTTTGTTGGAAAGGTGGCAACCATAGGTCTGAAAGCCAGCACACTGGATTTGGCATTTGAGGTTTTCCTGGTGACCTTCTTTTAGAACATTGTGGAATAAATGTAAGATGAGGAAGTAGAAACAGGGCAGGCAGTGGAGGGGAGGAGAGTGGTCACAAATAGCCGTGTTTGTAAACCAAACAAAGAAAGGGGTACTGGTTGGAATACGGCCAGGTGCCACAAAGTGACAGAGGCACTCTTAGGTCTTTCCAGCTGCCTTGGGGAGTGTTTCTGGTAGCTGTCATCCTAATTTCTCTCCAGAAGATGCCAGGTGCTCTTGAGGTCTGGCTAGTGGTCAGCCCTGCAGGGACAACATTTCAAACTCAACATCTGGGCCACAGCTGCCAGTAAGAAATAGAGTGCCATTTGAGGGCTCTACACTGCTGTTTCTGGGGTTCCAAGCTCCCTGGGGTTTCAGCTTTATTCTGCCTTCAGTTTTAGGAACACCACAGTTACAGAAGAAGTCAAACTGCTCATAACTTCTCTGGCGCTTATTTTGCTGTTAAAAAGCTCTCTTCTCCATCTTTTCCTCTGGCACACATGATAAATCTTGTCTACTTGGTTACTCGGCAGTAGAGCCTGCTTCCTCATCACCCGCCCCCAAATGTCAGCATGTTTGTGCTGAACAAAGTAGAGTCTGGGAAGACAGTTGTGTGGACCACATTGACCAGGGCTGGGCTCCCCATCTATAAAAGAGTGGTTAGAGGTGAGACCACCATGGACAGGCTCATGATGGACATTGAGCCCCTTCCCATCTACGTCCAACGTCTGCGCCTGCCCAAAGGGTACTTTCTGTTTCTGTCCATTTGGGGAAGTCGCTTTTTCTTGGTATTTAGGGAGTCAGGAAAAGAAAAGTCATTGGGTTTTCACATTAGCCTTCAGGTAGGGCTGTGGCTTTTGACCAACAATAACGTATGACCTTGTGGTGGGTTTTGGACCTACTCCAGGGAAGGTGGGACCCAGCTGAAGGGACAGGAGATTCTGGTACTGTGAAAAGGTGATGGCACATGGGAACAGAGGCTGGGAAAACAGCGCTGGAAGTTTGGATTGGCTGAGAGTTTCTAGGAAGGTCCCTGTAGTGGGAGCACTCATCAGCACAGGAGGGTGCAGGCCTTTTAAGGGTTAAGAGCACCCGAAAAAATAGAAGTAGGAGGAGGAAGTGGGGCGCTGGGTAGCAATGCGAGAAGGAAGCAGCTCATCTGAGCTTCCTCTTTCTCCTCCTTCCCTGAAGCCCCCACCCACCCCTCCTGTACAGACAGAAACGCTCTTCCGCCCCCCTCCCTGGCCCCGAACCTCACCTTACTCTTGGGGGGGGAGGGTGTAATACGCGGTCCTGATGCCAGTCGTGGCTTGTAGTTCCCAGGCAGGTGAGGTCCCAGCTCAGGTCAACTTCTCAGTTGCTTTGAATCCTAGGACGCAAGGGCTGATGGTACCGGCCTGAACCGACCCGGCCACCAGAGGGCGGGAGAGGCAGGCCGGGCGGCTAGCTCGCCCAGACCACGCCCCTGGCTAGCCCCGCCCCGAAGGCGGGTTGTAGGGGTAGGGCAGATGCTGGGACTCTGCTGCCCTGGCTCCAGTCTCCTCAGCGCAGTGCGGTCGGTTGGTGCTGGGCCTTAACCCAAGATTAGGGAGTCGCCGCTGGAAAGGGGCTCTCGGCGCCCGGCGGGGACTGCAGGTGTGTGGCTGGGCAACCAGGGGGATGCTGAGGGTAGGTGTGAGAGCTGGAGCCAGAGTGGGTTGCGACCACCCTGGAGCAATGTGCCCCGACTGCAGCCGATGAGCTGGACAGTTTTGCGGTCTTCCAGTCCCGCAGTTAAAGTCCACCTCGGGGACACGGAGAAAACCCATGGGTGGGTTGTCCCAGAAGCAGAAGGGGCGTCCTGGGACTGCTCATCAAAATTTAAGTAGCTACGAGGCCAAGGGTGTGTGCTGGATCACAAGCCACCCTGTGCTCTGGAGTAAAGCTCTGAACTCTGGGGAGCGTGGACAACAGGAGTCCTTTGGCATCAGGATCTGGGCGTTGTTCTCTGTTGAGCCTCAGGCTGTTGAGCCATATTAGTGAGCGTGGGCCCTCAGACGCAGCTGCTTTTCTAGGGAAACTGTCAGAGAATCAATGTTTACACTCCGGAGACACGCGTATTGAGGATGTACGCGCGCATACACGTGTGTGTGCTCTAGTGCTGACATGATGGGCAATCCGAGGGTGGTGGCGGTAAATATTCAAGAAGTTCAGGACAGTAGGAGGAAGGAGGCATTCAGAGGGAAAAGGAAGGCGAGATGAAAGCCTCAGGATGTGGTATGAAGTGAGTTAATCCTCCTGCCCAGAGGAGGGGTGGCTTTTGACAATTGGAGAGCTAAAAGCAGGCCAACTCACCTGGAGGCTCTTTCTGAATGGTTGTCCTCTGCTTTAAGATTTGCTCACTACCTGCTGTGGGATCACTTGGTAAGGTCGGGTTCCCAGGGCAGTGTTGCACTCCTGCAATGCCTGTCAAAACATAATCTCGGGGCCCAGCCGTGCAGCACAGCTTTCCAAGGTGAACCAAGTTTTAAATAAGATCCTTAAGCCATGGTGTTGGAGCTGTTGCTTGGGAACCTTGTGTCAGATGGAATAGAGACCTGAGTTCCAGCCAGGCCCTGGCACATGACATCCCTCTGCCTGCCTCAGTCTTATTTGTAAAATGGACTATATACTTCTGATCTACAGGGCCATGCGGGAAATGAGACAGGTGCAACGGGAGCTACACCGAGATGTCCACTTACATTTCTTACAAGCAAACAGAGCAGCTTTATTTAGAGGCTTATCCCAACCAAGGGGCTGAACTATGAGCTATGTATATGTGTATATGTAGCCTGGTATGAGTTCTCACCTTTGGCATGGACAGAATGGAACAGCAATGCATATTACATATGAGGATACATCCTCAATTTGGAGATGTATATGTGTTCACATTTTATTTCTTTATATCAGTTATTATTTATTTTGTGGATGTGAGTGCACAGGTGCCTGCTTGCCATGGTGCATGTGGTAGTCAGAGGGCAACTTGAGGGAGCCAGTTCTCTCCTACTCTGTGAGTTCCAGGGAACAAACTCAGGTTGTCAAGCTTGGAGGGAAGCCATCTCCTCTGCTCTGTTTATTTGCTGTTTTGTTTTTTGAGACAGTCTCAGGCTGTACCCCCTGCTCACCTCCAACTCAGAATGTAGCTGAGAATGGCCTTGAACTCTAAGTGCTGAGATTACAGGCAGTTCTACTCTGCTCCACTTTACATCCATATTTTAGCAGTGTTAAAGTTAACATTTACAACCATGATAAGCCCCAATGTTGCTTCCTTGTCAACACACAAAACGATGGTGCGTCTTTACAATCAATGGCATCTTACAGTCTGTTGAATACAGGGTATAGTTTACAGATTTAGGGAAAGCTTTTGGAGATACATGGGTACACACAGAATTATGTCATTCTCCTATTAAGCATACATTTAAAAACTTATACTTCATAAGCAGCAACCTTTTAGTGGTGTCTAGTTTTTTTGTTTTTGTTTTTTTGTTGTTGTTGTTGTTTTGTTTGCTTTTAAGTCAATTTTACTGTGTTGCCCTTAGCTGACCTGAAACTCACTGTGTAGACCAGGATGACCTTGAACTGACAGAGATCTGCCTACCTCTTACTCCAAAGTGCTTTTTGAATTGTTTTTCAGCTGGAAGTAAAGGCATGCACCATTACACCTGGCCTTACAGTATCTCACCCTAAAGGCAGCGTTAAGTTTGTTAAGTAGAGCACTGTCCGGTTGGATTTAGCAACTTCTCCAGAGTGTGATCAGCTGGTTCTAACCAGCCCTTCTCTTTTGCACCCGGGGCCTGCTTTTGATACATTTCCCACCATTTCTCTTTCATCCTTCTACTTGACTTTCCCCCTTTGGCTACAATTTTGTGGGGTATCGGACAGCATGCCAAGTGCTTTGTGCCCTTTCGTCTTGATAATCCACATTAAGATAGCTGTAACTATCACCCCCACTTTGCAGGTAAGGAAATGGGGCGCTGAAGCCACTCAGAAAGTGCCAGGCATGGGCTTACTCTGGCATCTGCTCTTGATCAGAGAGGAGCAAGCTCCAGCAGTGATCTGTGGTTGTCAAGTACGTGCCTTACCTTGTACTTCTGAGGTAGCCCCCCCCCTTCATTGGATAACTGGGCTTGTATGTTAGGTGGCCTCTGTGTGTTCAAGGCTGATACATGAGAAAGTGAATAACTTTCCTAGCTCAGAGCTAGAGGCTCCTAACTATCTTTTGGGTCCCAGATTCTGGCCAATGGAGCTTGGCCTTAGGGCCAAGTGTTGCTATGGTGATGGGAGATCCCAAATCCACCCCCAGCCTAGGTTCACCCTCCTGCTTCCTCTTGTGAAGCTCAGCTATGAAGATACTGTTTCATCTCCCCAGCTTGCTCCTCCCTTTCTCTACCCACCTGGTGAACTGAAAATTCCTCCCTCAGTGGACAGTTGGAGCTCCATCTTCCAGAGACTTCCCCAACTCCTGCTCTCACCCTGCAACACTAGGCCACTGTCCTCCATGGCCTCCCAGTGTAGCACTCACTGCCTTGGCCCACAGGGACTTACCAGGGACCTACATGGCTATGGCCTATTCATGATCAGTGTGGCTTCAAGCTGTCACCCCTTCAAGCTGAGTCTCCCTGGGATCTCAGGCAAGAAGCCTCCATGCACATCCCCAGTAGAAGCTGCTCAGATGCAGGGTAGTGTTGGGGTCAGCAGGGTGGGGTCCCTAGAGACTGTTGTGCTTTTCATTTTCATGTTCTCTGGAGTCTTGTTATTGTGTTGACCTAGGCAAATGAGCTTGTGTGGTTTCTTCACGGTGGGGTGAGGGGCAGGGCTGGGATGTGAGGGCTGAAGGTGCATTCCAGCCTAGGGGTCCCGTTTCTACCACACTCCTCCACTGTGGTCACAAAGCCTTGATTACAATCAGATGCCTCTCTGAGTGTCATTTCCCCTGTCTACATGGCAGCACAGTGGCATTCGATCCTGCCTAATCCCCCCCCCCCATAGTCAGCACTTTCCTGTGGACCGTGTTCAGTGTACAGCTATGGACCAGGCCCAAAACTTACGGGAAGGCAGGCATTGTTCCCGCCTTCAAGGAGATGTGGTTCAGGACACATGCAATACAGGGATCATCTTGTTCTAAGTGTAAGAAATACATGGTGCTGTGGGGTTACAGAAAGGGAGTTTGGGGTTTAGAATTATATCATGTATTACTTGAGACCCGAGAGATATGCAATAAAAGAGAAGAATACTCATAATAATGATATGATATTTTCCAGATACCTGCTCATGGCTCTGTGGTTTATCTTCCTCATGAGTTTGTCCCCCAGCAATTCAGGGGGTGTGTGTGTGATCATGAGGGGATTCCTCCTTCTGAAATTAGATGTCACAACCAAATGTCATGACTTTGTTCCATATCTGACATGAACCCAGGATTCTTTTCATGCTCCTTCCCATTCCCTTATCCCAAAGTGCAGTTTGTGATCATCGAGGTCTTAAATACTATTGCAGTGGGGGAAGGCTCCCTCTTCCTTTTCTCTGTTCATTGCTGGAGAGCATGTCTCACTCTGGACCCTTTGCAGTCATACCTTTCCTTAGTAGCTCAGGGAGTCTCTCTATCCATGGGGAAGTCTGCCCATTGTAGTCATACCTTTATCCAGTCCTTGGGAACCGTGTTCTTACCAACTTCAGAGACCCAGGCCTTCGTTCTCTGTATCGTGTAATAAGGCTCCTGGCTTCTCCATCTTCCAGCTCCCACTTCTCCATTTAAATCTGTCTTCCCAGAACCCTGACATCCACTCGGATCTGGCTATGTGTTTGGTTGAGTGTTTGTTCCTGTGTGGCTCCGTGGTGTAGTGTGGGCTCTTGTCAGGCAAATCTTCACACAACCACTTCCACCCAGCCTGGTTGACGTAGCCAGCCTCCACGTGGGGTTTTCTGCATTAGTTAGATCACTTCATCTACACCTACGGTTCTTCTAGAAGAGTTTCAAACACTTTCTAGCTCAGTGGTTCTCCCTCAACCTTTCTAACGCTGCGACCCTTTAATACAGTTCCTCACCATAAAATTATTTTCATTGCTACTTTATAACTGTAATTTTGCTACTGTTATGAACCATGATATAAATACCTGTATTTTCTGATGGTCTTAGATGACTCCTGTGAGAGGGTCATTCGTGGGCCCCCAAAGGGTCAAAACCTACAGGTTGAGAACCACTGCTCTAGGTGGTGAGCCTGTTGGAAATGCTGATGAAAGGGTGCGCGTGTGCATGCACACACACACACACAGAGTCTCTTTTACATACAACTCAAAGGTCTTCTTAGACTTCTATAGTCTAGTGCCTGACTTAGTAAGCTATGTTCCAGAAAACACAATAGTCTATGCACAGGGA